CCCTCAATTTTTTTCTTCAACATTATTTCATACCATTATCAATGAAAGTATGACTGTATTTGTGATTTTTAAGTTTTGCAGAGAAAAACAGTACAAATTTACAGAGGCACATAAAGAACACCTTAATATCAAAGCATTATTTATCCACTTATCCACAGGTATAAACAAAAAACAAAATTAACAGGGTTATGAAAAAGGCCCCGCTGATTTGACCAGTGACTTCAGAGCACTGTTGGTTGTGAATCAAACATCTCATTCCTGAGTTAAAACTGACAGATCAAGTCCAGTATCACACAGGCACAGTTTAGATTATTTTTCCCAAGATGCATTATGTTTTATTTTTTTAACAATTAAGCTCATCTTACTTTTCTGTGTAACTGTTTTATGAGGTATTTCTAGAGTCCCTCGCCATTGAGACTCTAACATATTCCTCCCATGTTTCATCTACAGGCTTGGAAATTTTACAGTTCACATCACTCTCCTGATCACTGATGAGGGTGGTGTAGAGAACTGGATTTGACACTGATCCCTGGGGGACACCTCTGCTGACTCCATACTGAAAAGTGACCTTCGAGCCATTTTACAGTCCTGTGTTCAAGGAGCTTTGGCCATCTTCCAACCTAGAAATTCTGTGATTCTGTGATTCTGTGTGATCTTACAGTTTATAAAAGAATCAGTCCCCTGGCAACTCACTTGCTCTATGAAACTTTGACATGAAACACAGCCAAAGCCTTTTTGAAGATCCAAGTATAGCATGAGGAGTAGATCCCCCTTGTCCACGTGTCAAGGCCTCATAATGGTCCAGAAGGTGCATGATTCCCCTTTGCTGGAGCCATGTTGACTCTCTCCCAGAGAGAGACAGTTAACCCATGTCCTCAGGGATCTTGTTCTTTCCTGTAGCCTCTACCACCTTGCCAGAAGGGAAGTCAAATCCCCTCCAGGCCCTTTCACACACAGAGCTACACAGGCCCAGGCAGCGCTGTGGCTCCAGAGCTGCTACTGAGGGACCCTCAGGCCATGGCTCAACAACTCCGCATACACACAGCCTGAGCTCCTTCCAGCCCGGGTGAGCAGTCCCACATCTGCTGGCTTCCTGGCACATCACTATCCATTCGGACTGAAACTGCTTATATGTTTGTTTCAAAGTGACACTGCTCTTCTGAGCTGTTTGCTACAGAGAAAGGCCCAGGTGGGGCAACGCCTTCACTGTCTTCAGCAGGAAAGACCAACACAAGGAATGCACTGAGTTTCCCTGCTGCAGTCTTAGCATCCCTGAGTGCCCTTTCTGCACCTCACTCACCAAATCATCCCACAAACTCCCTAGCTGACTTCCTGCTTTCCCTTATATTTAAATCTAATTAGCAGGTTGAGCACAAAGTACTCTTCTTTTTAGCCCTCCTTATTTCCTGTTTTCACCTCACCTGGCATGATTATAGGTTTCAGTTTTGTGTCAGCTTGTAAACTTTCTGCTTTTTAAATGCTGATATTTTCCCTGTGATGGCTTCCTTGCCCTTTCTAGTGAGTTGTATGGGGATTTTATTGGAGTGCTGTTGTCTTTTAGAACTGGGGCAGTTTGCCAGAGCTTCTAACACAATATTTGTAAAAATATCAATACAATAATATTACTACTGTGTGAATCCTGGCGTAGCTATATGATGTTAAAAACAACTAAAATGTCCAGATATATTTCCCATTATCTGACCTCCAGTCCTTCATTACTGCCTTCAATACAGAGCATCTGCCTCAGCTACTCTCTCCCTACACTGGGAGAAACTGTCTGCCTGCCAATAGCAGTGTTTCTCTCCCTTTATTTCCTTAGATATCTGTCGGCTCTCACAGCCCTCTCTCTAGACAAGCATCCTCCTTTAGCTTATATTTAGGCTTTGGAGAGTAAATTGTTCTTAGTCTGCCAGGTATCAGAGAGAGTATATTCCCCAATAAACAGCATTCTCACTGCATTTTCCAGGATTTGTGTTGCTGTGCTTTTCTGGCCCTGTTACATCTTGCATTTGATTTAATGCCTCTGTGCTGAGGCAAAATAATTTCTCATCAGTAATGTGAGTATGAAATTTATTAAAAATATTACACGATTGACTTATTTGTTATAGGCTGTAACTCTAGTCCTGTTCTACATTATGTTCTTCAAGTCTCGGGGTCTGAAGGATCTTTGTTACTGTGAGGATGTCAGCTTCACTGCAGAAGTGGGAATTTCTACCCCATCCTTTTTGAAAATAAAAGCTCGAAAACATTATGTTGTCAAACACAAACAAAAAAAACAAAACAAAACAAAAATAAAAACCTGAAAATCTGGAATCAATTTAATATGAGGTAGGCTTGTAATTTTTATGACTATACATTACTTTGGGGTGGGAGGGAGAGATATTCATTATTTTGAATGTTTGCAGGTGGCAATATTGACTGTGGAAGTTTCCTGTTTGGGAATGCTTTGTCATTGATGTCCTTGGACTGGTATTAACACCACTCTTCCATTAGTTTGTGTGAATACGAGTAGTACTATAGTCTAATTTATTCCCTCTGCAGATTTGGACTGATTTTATAAGCTGTATTTTCTACCCATGAAAAGTGCTGCAGTGATGAGTACTGATATGCGCAGGTAAGAAATCCTGTCTGTGCAAGATAATAACTCTTTCAGCTAAACAATTTGAGTGCAAAAATTGGGAGGCATTTATTTTATTCGTAACAAAAATTGCTATCATAGAAATCATAGTAGGTTCAAACACCACGTTATTAACACAAGAAGACATCATAATACAGGATTCCTATTTGTTAATCGTCCTTTACTCCAAAAGTCAAAGGTAGCATCCCTTTCCACACCCTCCCTCCTGAAAACCCACAAAGAGCAGCATAGAAATAAAAAGACTCTATCGGAAAATTCTGAAAGGTTGACACCTTCCCTTTGGTCCCATTAGGTGGAGCTCTCAGACAAGGAGAAATGGATGGAATAAACAACCCACCAGACACCCTTAGGAATTATTAGTACTGTACAATTCAGGTATCTTTTCCCTGCCGAGAGCTCTCTCCTTTTGAAAGAATTCATTTGGATCCTACTAGAAATCTTATTATATGCTTTTAAAACTAGTGTGATGCAGCAACCTGGCTGTACAACTGGGTTTTCATTAGCTTAACACATCACTGAGATCGAGCTGAAAACTTCAGAGATAAACAAATGCTACATCACTGGGGTCAACATAAATAATGAGAAAGGCAGAGAAATAGTTATCGAAATAAAGAAGCACAGCAGATTAAAAAAAAAAAAAAAAAGTGCAACACATAAAAATCTGAATATTCCAGCAAGAGCTTGACTCTGCTTCTATTCATGTTTTAAGTCCACTAACATTAATGGTGCAGCAGGATTCAGCTGAAAAATTGGCCATGCAAACACAGAGATGTAATGCAAATGGAAATGGCAAAATGTTTGCAACCTGATTTTCTGCTACATTCAGATTCAAGTTTCTATTCATACCTAGCATAAATTTTTACAAGGTATTGGTGTAGCTCTCCCTGTTCCTACACAAGGGGAAGAACAAAGATAACCCTGCACAAGCAAAAGGACAAAATGATGGGTCCTGCCAAAGAAATTGCATATTTTCACACCAATTGTTTGTTATGTGCAGTAACTCAAAGTAATGTCAATATTTTTGCTAAAAAAATGTCTGTCATTGGGAAGATGGAAAGAGGAAGACAGTGTTATATAGATGGTGATCTGAATTGGTAGAAATTAGCAGAGATTGTCTATATTCATATGGAAGTCGAGTCTGAACTGGTCCCTGTTAGACTCTACATCTGATCTAAGAGAAACAATTGATTCAATTTAATCACTTCAGCTGTGAAAAAAAAAAAGACTGCTAGTTTTATCTTTTATTAAGGCAGACGTGACACTTTTGTAATAGATTATTCAGTAAAGCTTAGCATATCTCCTAGTTTTATCCTTGATACAAAAAATGGATAATTTCATTTCAGTGTGTTACAGTGCTGGAAAGTGATTTTGAATATATTTTTATTGTGTTTGAATATAATCTGTGTAGTTCCAGGTTTTGCAGCAAAACTATTTGCAGATGCTTGACTAGTCTGAAAGCCTGTTTCATTTTCAGACTTTTTGAAACCTGTACTCTTTTACTCCCTGAATAAAAACCATTTAATCTTTGTGCTAAAATAAATACTGTGCAGTGGCTGCAAGTCCTGAGAACTAGCATCTTTGTTTCTGTGTTGAAATCAGTTGGCCATATTATTTGACGGGCTTTAATTTTATACACTACTTTAGATGTACTTCACTGGCAGAAAAATAAAACTTCTCCTACCAGGCTGTTAGGGCTGATGAACTAAGACTGTTTCTCCCCAGCACTGAAGCTCTCTCCCTCACATTCATATTCTTCTGCTTTACCCGTTTCCCCAGAGGAGTGTTTTGCAATCAAGGTAAGCTTTTAATTTTTTCTCAAGGAAATTATCCAAAACCTGCTGTTGACATAATAAAGGTGTCACAGGTCAGAATCTGAGTTTTACTTCTTGATGCTGATATTGTGCACCAGCTGTTTGGGTTGTGGAAGGCATTAAATGCCAGAGCTTCAGAAGCACATCTAATTTTTCACTTCCTGTCACCTGCCTTCAGGAAGGCCTTAATGACAATAGGATGTATAGACAGTTTTTCTTTCAAGTTCTTTTCCACAGTCTGTTTGTCTTTCAGATGATAATGTGTGCCTATGGTACAGATATGCTCCATTCTCTGTCAGGTTAGGCCACTCATGGCCTCTGTTGTACTTATCCTGAGACCTAACTGTAATGGAGGAAGCTATCATCTCCATTTTATGGCTTCAGGCCAAGTGACTTCTTTACCACTTCTGTGGCAGAACAGGAGACTGAATCTGGTTCCAGTTTAGAGCTCTACCCACTGAACTGTACTTCAAGGTGACATTACACAAATAGATGTATGTATGTCTGATTTAAGCAGCAAAAAAAGGGGATGAAGGTTATGGCAGTCTTACCCTGCTTTCCCAGGTTTCAAAGAGAAGCCATCAGGAGAAGAATCAAGATGGTGGAGAACTGAAGAACTTGGTACCACATGGTGAGCCCCCAATGAAGTCCTGTGGGCAGAGAACACACCTGGTAAGCCTCAACAAGCTGGACATCACAGAAGCATCACTGTAATTTTCCCAGTGTAAAACAAGAAGCTCTCTCCATCTGAAGTTTCTGCATCAACAACTTCAGTTTTTAAGAGAGAAGCTTTTTATTTTATTTTATTTTTTTTCTGGCAGAAAATTTTCAATTATCCACTCTGTGACCTTCTAATTCCCACTCCTGCTTCCCAGTGTCCATGCCTCTGAACAGACAAGAATGTTCTCTCATCCATGATTCAATATTTCTAGAAGGTACAGTGTGGTTAAAAGACAGAAAATCAATCTTAAGTAGTGAGATTTCCATAAAGTTCAATTAAAAGTGTCAAGCTATTGTGACTAGATTTGTCAAAGTCTGGGTGACAAGCTTTGCTGTGCAGCAAAATGTGCTTTTTTCACAACATGCTTGAGGAGAATGCTGGGGAGGATCCTGGTTCTCAGGCTGCTGCAGGCACACCAACTTTCTGGCTCTGTCCCTGCAGCTTGCATCTGACCCGTGCGTCCAGACCTGAGCCGCCTCTGAGGGAGACTCTGAGAAGACAGTGCAAGTGCTCATGGCTTAGAGGGAAAATAGTGCAAACTTGGTAAGAAAAATAACAGCATCCAGACAGCAAAAATCAAGATCTGTTACTGATAGTGCTGCACCACTCTTTTCCTTTCATTCACCTGATTTGGAAATGGTGTTTTGAAGAGAACATAAATATGTTTATCTTGACTTCTTTGTCTGTCCTTTTGGGAAAGTGCTAAGATGCTAAGTGTATCCCAATATGGTTTCTTACTGAATATCTGTTTCAGAAAACACACCCCTACTGCAGCACAGTGCAGCCTATAGCAATGAAGAGGAATAATAACAAAATCCTTAAGGCAGATCAGGCAGTCTGCGTGCTATACTTGGGTCAAACTTGAGCCTGAAGTGCTTCTGCATATCAACAAAAAAGTATTTTCTCCCAGTCTTGCAAGAGGTTATAGGATGTTACAAATTCCCGCTAGTAATTATGTAGGAAAAATCTTAATTGGCTGAATTCATTGTAATTCTTAAAGTCACACTTGTACTTGCTCTGGATAGATGCAGCCTCCTATTAGTGACACTCTCCTCCTATTAAGCTTTGTTACAACCTCACCCTGGTAGCAGCTGCTCACTCACTAACAAAAGTGGGTGCTTTGTGCTGCCCATGGGACACAGTGACAGAGGAGGTTCTCAGCCGAGGTCCCCGTGATGCCCACTCTGCAGTGACCTGTTCAAAACCTGGCAATCTGGCACAGACCTTTACATGCATGGCTCTGGCATGACCTACTTTCCCTAGCACCTTATTTGTTGCACACACGTTTCATCTTTACTCAAACCACGCTTCAAACACAGGCTGTCTTGTACTATCTGTTAGCAAAATACTCAAAGCAAAGGGGGCCCTGACAAGGGGATGTGAACATCGCTGTGCTACGCAAAGCAGAACGGGTAAGATGTGGCCAGCACCCAGCAAAATCATAGGTAATTATCTGATTCTTGAGCAAACCTGGAGTTTATTTCTCTTGACTTGCCAGTTTGCACAGAAACAACAGAGCAAGGCAAAGATAAACATATGACGCTTATAAAATGAATAATTCTTTAGAAGAAAATCCGAGTGCAATTAAAGGCTAACAGCATACACCAACTACCGTGTCTAACCTCTCTTTATCATTAGCAAGAGATGGATGGAGCAGAAACCTAGCTCACTTGCTACAGAATATGTCTTTCTCCATCTTTTAAATAGACCCACAATAAAGCCTAGAGCCTTCTGTTGGTCATATTGATCTCTTTCACATTGTACTTTAGCTATCTTCCTTTTTTTTTTTTTTTTTTTTTTTTTTTTTTTTTTTACATTTTTCTGTTGCTTAAATGACAGCTTGATTGTTGGAGTCAATCTCCCTCACAGCAAAATTGTTTCTCTAGTGGTATGGGTGAGTGGGTCTATTGGTCATGAAGATCTATTGTGTGGCCACTGGCTAGAAAAAAAAAAAAGATTTTAAGTTGAGTGGAGTCTGTTCTGATGTCCAGTATCAAAATCTTTACCTCATACTTGGTTCTCTAAAGGTGCATGCAAGAACAGAAAGCTTCCTCCCCCACCTCTGCTACTGAATTCCTCTGTATGATGTTGGGTACTTCCCAGAAGTTTTTCAAGGAGCCTACCTCTGCCTTTGATTCCCAGTAAAGATTTTTTTCGCTCCAGATGTGTGTCATAAATGAACATGTTGTACTTCACTGCACATAAAAAGTCCATAACCTGAGGTATTGGTGGAATGCTCAGGAACCACATGCAAAATGTGTTAGATAGGGAAGGGAAGGGAAGGGAAGGGAAGGGAAGGGAAGGGAAGGAAGGGAAGGGAAGGGAAGGGAAGGGAAGGGAAGGGAAGGAAGGGAAGGGAAGGGAAGGGAAGGGAAGGGAAGGGAAGGGAAGGGAAGGGAAGGGAAGGGAAGGGAAGGGAAGGGAAGGGAAGGGAAGGGAAGGGAAGGGAAGGGAAGGGAAGGGAAGGGAAGGGAAGGGAAAGACCATTGTAATTAATTAACTCAGTTCTCTCTTAGTGTACTAAAACATCAGAGACTGATCAGCATATCTGAAAGGAGTCAAAGAGAAAACTTTATTTATAGACTTCCCCACCATTGTACCAGGTAGGAGGGAGAAAGTAAGAAAATAATTCTCTTTCAAAATCTGATGGGTAACTGAGCCATATTAATTACCTCTTTGGATGGACATATGCCTAACATAAGCTCTCCTCTGCCCTCAGATCTGAAAGACAAGTACCAAAAGCACTGATAGAAGATTAGATCAGAGATAAGTCCTCTTGCACTCCTTTTCCCTAACTTGCTTGCTGAGCTTATTCCATGGTTTCAAATTCCTGTAGATAAAATTGAAGAACAAAAGTGCAGCTGGAGTTCGTGCAAGTGGCAATTTGAAGAGTACCTTCATTCTCTAAGCAGCTTGACTTTTCTCGTCAGGGAAGCCTATCTGTCAAACCACATGTTCCTCCTCCCTGAGCTCAAATAACAGGTGGCTGAAATCTGAAAAGGGCTGATTTTCAAGAACATGCCGTATTTAGCAAGTTGTATTCACAATACAGCAATGCAATCGCGTCCACTTGCTGCTCCTCCTGGACAGATTTAAGAAATATCACCCAAACGTGGATAGCAAATCTACGATAGAGGAGTGAGACTGAACTTTTCTGACTCACAACCCCCCTGTTTAACGACGGGACCATATAACTTCCTCTCATGGTCAGTTAGTAATGCCATGAGCCACTCTGGTAAACAACGATATTGAGAAAAAGTCCATCTGGCACCAATCACAGCCCTTAGCTAGGTACTAGATGAAATTCAGCCTGCAGAAAGGAACACAGTGCCTATGGGCAGGCAACGCTAGTTCCTGCAGCACCACGCAAACCCTTCCCCCTGTTTCTGAGGCAGGCTGTCAGGTGTGATGGAACAGCACAGCACAAACAGTCCCCAAAGTAATTGCCTGTGGCATAAGCCAGATGTCCAGCAAGATGCCCGGGGGAAAGCTGACTACACCTAAAGGCAAACAGAACTGGCCATCTTTCTCTTTAGTCCCATGAAAGGGTAGGAAGGCTTGCGTCTGCTGCTTCAAGAGAGAATGGGAAAGTACAGCTACCTGATTTTCAGTCCTGATTTGAGCCTTCAATCTGATAAAGATCCATTCTTACATCCTTGAGTCATTTTAGTTGCTTTTTCTTGCCTTTTTTCTCCCCAACCACTCGAACCTGGAAACTAGAACTCCAGCATCCCAGGAGGGTATCACTGACGTAATGCAGCATGACAATACACAACTCCCGCCGGCTTCCCGTGGTGGTACTCTCAAGTGTTCCACACGGAAAGTCTTTTCAAAACTGTCTTGTGCCAAGGACTGACTTAATCTGTTATTTAATATGGCCAACACATTTTTTTTCTTCCTCCACAAACGACCATTTCTTGAAATCTCTCGTTGCTGACAATATTTCCAAAATGTGAAGACTTTTACACCTCCTTATGTTGTTTGTGTGTGTGTGTGTGTGTTAAACATCTCCTGATCCTCTTTATAATCCAGGTAGATTTTGAATGCTTATACTTTGATTTTTTTTTTTTTTCTCCTGACTTCATGTTATCAAAAGAGCAGACCAGAGGGACATCCATTAATTGACATCACCAATAACTCAGAACTGGCTTTCTGGCTCCCTCTTTTGAGAGGGAAATTTGTTTTGTTTGTTTGATTGCTCTTCGTGCTGCCTGTTCATGTCTGCCCAAGGCTTTTATGCCATGCCCATCACTGTGGAACGTGAGATGACTGATAACTGGCTTCTAATTCACACAACAGGCACTGTCTCTGCAACAGCACATTTTGGCCTAAAAAGCAGTATTTGAGGCCTGACATGTAATCTATGGATTCATCCAATCTAATTAGAGCCAATTGCTTCAGTGTTTTTACGATATAGACATACACCCACTCAGAAAATCACTACAGCTACAAAGCCAGCCACCAGGCAGTCATTCTATCAACTCTTGGTCACTTCTGGCCTGGAAATGACTTGAAAGATGCTCTAGAGGTGGAAGGTTCTGAAACAACACACCGTCAGTCCCCTGAACACTGGACTTCTTTGCAGTTTACTGTGTTCAGAGTCAATTACTTTTTTATTAGACTAGACTGTTGTTTTTTTTTCACATTTTTTTTTGTATGTTCTTGTATTAAGGTAAAATTTCTGTTTTGTTGAAATCAGCAATAAAAATTCAAAGCAAAAAATACTGAAGACATCTATTCTTTAGACAAGAAACTGAGAGTTAGGCTAAATTAATATGCACTGTGAAGCAATGCCAGACAAATTGCTGTGTACAAGCTACCTTGTAGACAATTGCCTTTGGTATGTCTAATGTGCGTGGCAGTCTTTAGTGCAGTTACATCCAGGAACAGTTGGCCATGTGCATTCACTGGGCATCGTGGGTATGGCTCTGACACTTGTTCTCCAAGGAATTGTTCTGCTAGTCTCAAAATAATTTCAGTAAACCTTAATATACCTCCTTATACTTTTGCTTCTAAAATTCCCGTGAAACCACTGCAAAGCAAACATGCAATGAAAGACTGTATTTAGAAATCATCTGTTTGTGTCAGACTTTCTCAGCTTGATCTCCTCCAACTAACAATAGTGTAAATCACAGGCCTTCCACTGGTACACGTGAAGTTGTAGGCAAAAGCCACTGCCCAAAAATAGAAAGGGATTAGGCTGGCTGGATGTTTTTGTTGTCAAAGGCATTAAAAATGTTATTCATTTCAGCCTGAACTCGCCAGACTTCTTCCTGAGCTGCTCTTCTCTTCACTGCAAGAGTGAAGTACGTCGGGTTTGCTTTGCTGCCGTTCTCATGGCAAGAGAGGATCACTTCAGTCTGCGTCCTGCAAGCAGACAGCTCTGCTGCAGACATCTCCACCACCACCCTCTGGTTCTTCCCTTCCACATCCCATGGCCCATTCCCAGGGATGTGTGGGCTTCAGATCCCCTCCTGGACTGGGGATGTGCTGTGTTATGGCAGGATTTTTTCCACCGGTGGAATTCAGCAGTGACATAAACCCTCCAGCACTGGGAATACAAAAACAGCCCTGTCTCTCCCATAGGTTATAGCCAGCATGACATGGGACATGAAGCCCACGGGGGCTGCAGGAAGGCTGGATGGCCTGGGGGGAGTGGGGCTTGTGCCACGATGGCTGCAGCTGCCTGTGAAACCAGCAAGGAGCAGCCCAGTCTCCTTGTGCCATCTGCGTTACATAAGCATTCTGTACATTGGGATTTAATCTGGGCATTCAGAGCTGCCTGCAGGAGCTGGCGGTCCTGGGTCTGTTCACCCATCTCCTGTGTGTGTTCTTTATTGCAAATGTGCGTTTGCTGCAGCACGTTTTCAAGGAGAATTGAGGAAAAGTAAAAGCTATGTGTATTAGTATTCCTCTTTAATTTAATATCAGATTACAAGGTGGAAATTAAAATGATTTTTCTGTCACAGTTATCTCTCTCCACTTGGCAAAGATCGATTTCCTTCTTCCCTACTGCTTACTAATAAGACATCTGAAAACTAAGATGGTTTTTATGTTTACTTCCTTGTTTAAATCAGCTTTCTCAACTAAGGACAGCTTTGGCAATATATCTGCTTTTTAACTTGTGATTTCTGCGTTGGCTCAGACTCCGCCAGTGACAGAACATCAGACGCGGAGAGCCTATATATTTTTAATTACCCAGGGATGCCCTTGTGTATAAGTACATGCAAATTAAGGAAGTACAATTCAAAACCTGTTCACAACAGATTGCACATGTTACACAAGCAGTCACATTTTGGGCACCGGAATGATGGTGGTGCACTGCTTTGCTTCTCCTGCTGACGAGCACCGAGGCACCAGACACGGCTCGGCACAGCATTGTGCCACTGCTGCTGCGGCGTCTGACGCTGCCAGGTCTGGTACCACACTCCGAGAGCTGACAGGCAGAGGGATGCTGATGGCAACGTTTGAGTGCTGAGAGTGAGAACTACTAGTCTAGATGGAATGACATCTTCCCACAAAGGAAACGCTAATGCCCAGGAAAACCCTTTTCTAAAAAGGAAATACTAATGTCCAGGAAGAGGATTGGAAAAAAAAAACACAACATTTCTGGTGTCTCAAAAAACCTGACGTGTGCACCCAACCAGAGCCTAGCAATCCCTGCACATGGTGAGGACACACTAACGAGCAAAATTGTTTTCTGGAGTCAGAGCTGTGCTTTGTGAACTTGCTACTTGTGCCCTGCTGGCACTACAGCTCCAGCCAAGATGTGATTGCTTCAAAAGACAAAAAATGACAAAAAAACCTCATGGTCTGAGGTGACCATACCCAAAGGAGCAGAAAGGAAATATAGCCATCTGCATACTGCAGATGAGGAACTGAAACACAGAAAAGCTGAGGGCCGAGGCACTCGAGGGAGAGGCAGCATGGTGGTGCTGCTACAGAGCTGACCATTCCTCCTGCATGACAAAGCTGAGCTTTTTCAGAAAGCTGAGTAATGTGTTCTGCAACACATTCTCCTGGGATATTATCCCACACCTTTCGGACATTTCACCACGTCAGATGTCTCCTTATTTAACCTCCTAGCGCTTCTCTTTCACGTTTTCTTGGTATTGACCCTTCTTAAATCCCCACGCTCAGCATTAGTAAGGATTTTTTCTCTAGGGTGTTACACCTGGAAGACCTATATAGCATCATCTTACCTTCGTCCTCTCACACTTGATTATCCTTTGTTTATCCAGTTTTTGTGCACTGAAGTTTTAATCTTGCCTTCTCCATCTTGGCAAAGTTGCTCTTAGTTTCCTCAGTGGGGTGATGTCTTAAGGTTTATTTCAGCCCTATCTCAAACGGTCCCAGGATTTTCTTCTTGTTCTTTGGGTACTGGAACCGAGACGAACTGAGACTGAGATCCAGAACCGAGATCTCCAGCAAGCCCCTTCCGTGAAGTCCGGGTCCCACCCGAGGGTGCCCGCTGTGCGAGGTGCTGCTGGCCGTGCGGGCACCTCTGGCTGTCCAAAAGCCGGGGGCGAGCGGGAGGCAGCCCCGCAGGTGCTGTCAGGAGGGGCAGAGCCGGCATTTCGTCCCGCACCCATCCTCCTGCCCTGCCCCGTGGTACCTTTGGGTGCCCGCAGCGGGGGCCGCGGGGCCACGCTGCGCATCTCGGGGAGGGCGTGCGACCCGTCCCGACCTGCGGGGATAAAAGGAAAAAAAGAAAAAGAAACAAACAGCCTTTTAGCTTAATTTAGGATCCGTGCGGGCTGCCCTCCCCCCGGGGACCCGCGGCCGGACACCCCGCTCCTCCGCACCGCCCCGCGACCCCCGCGGCGTTGGGGGGCGGGCGAGGAGGAGGAGGAGGAGGAGGAGGAGGAGGAGGAGGAGGAAGAGGAGGGAGGTGGGGGCGAGCTGCGGCGAGGGGAGGGAAAACCCGCGCTGGGCTGCACGCCGCCCGGCGCCGCGCCGCTCTCCGCCCGCGGATGGCTGCCGTCGGGGGTCCCGCAGGGCAGGCGGCCCCCACGGGCAGCCCCCGGCAGTAACTTCGCCCCCCGCGGCCGGCCCCGCGCCGCCCCGGGGCGGGCTCGGAGGCGCGGCGGGGCCGCGGGCCCATGGCCGGGCGCCCCGCGGCGCTGAGCTGCGGCTGCGGCTGCGGGAGCGGCTGCGGGAGCCGGAGCCGGAGCGGGGTCGCCCGGCCCCGTCCCGCCCGCCGCGGAGCCGCCCGAGCAGCGCCGCGGGGGCGCTGAGGGAGGGAGGCCGGCGGGGGGGAGGCAGCGAGGCCGCCCCCCGGTGCACCCCCGGCGGGTCGCTGGCGGCGGAGGGGCCGCGGGATCCGTCCGCGCTCGCTGCCCCCGTGCAGAGCCCGAAGCAGCCTCGCCGCCTCCTCCTCCTCCTCCTCCTCCTCCTTCTCCTCCTCATCCTCGTCCTCGTCCTCTTCCTCCACCGCGGCGGCGGCGGCGGCCCGCGGGTGACATGCAGTCCCTCATCTCTCCGGTGACCAAGGCTATCCTGGTGGCTTTGTTCATCTTCGCCATCCTGCTGATCCTCTACGTGATCCTGTGGTACATCTGCCGCGATGTGGATTGCGACCACGGCATCTGAGCGGCGGCGCGGGGACAGGGCTTAGGAGACGGATTCACCCCGCAGGGGCAGGCAGCGGGAGCCGCCGCCGGAGCGAGGGGAAGGAGGAAAAGGAAGAAGGAAAAAAAATAATAAAAAAAAAAAAAAGAAAAAAAAAATAATAATAAACGGACCGAGCCGAGCCGCCGCCAGAGCACGGAGGACGACTGCGACCGAGCAGCCAGCCTGAGCCTGACCTTCAGAGAGCAGCGTGACCCGGTGAGTCCCCGCCGGACGGGCACCGCGGGGGCTGCCCCCACCGGCCCCGCGCCCCCCGGAGCCCCCCGAGCCCCCCGCGCCGCCGGCCGGGGCACAGCCGCAGGCTCCCTCACACACTTACACGCTCACACACGCGTGTGCCCGCGGGGCCAGGTGGCAACGCGCGGGAGGCACCGCCGGGGCCGGGTGCGGAGCGGGTGCGGAGCTGCGGGGAGCCCCGCAGCGCGGTGCGGGAGGTGGCGGCGCCGCCGGGCAGGGCTGCGGGGGGAGCCCGTGCGGAGCGGGGTGAGCATCTCCTTCGTGGGGGGCTGCGGGGGGAGCCCCGCACACAAGGTGCTGGGAAGCCCGCAGTGCACCGCACGTACGTGCCGGGACAGCCCGGGGAGCGCGCCCTGCCCGGCTGCCTTCCCGCCTGGGAGCATCCGCCGTGGGAGGCTCTGCCTGCACCGTTAGGTGCTATTTGCTAAAGCTGAGAGGCACCAACACCTTGCGTTTAAAGTGAAAAGCCCTGTCGAAAGAGAAGTGGTCCCCAAACCCCCCGGCTGTGCGCGCTCCTGCCCTTGGCAAGGCAGCAGCCGGGAATCCCGGCAAACTCTCGGGCACGCACCGACCCTCCGGGGGGGTCTTCTGGCTCCGCAGGGTGCGGGCCTGGGTACGCAGAGGGGATCGATGGAAAATCGTGTTTGGTTTTAAGGGAGGGAGAACCAAAGCAAGTGTGAAGTGTAATTGCGTGATTCGAGGCGGTTTGACATTGAGTGCGTGCGACTGGATGCTCCCCTTTGCAACAGGGCTCTGTGTCTGAAAGGATGCTGCCTGCAAGAAGGCTCCTCTCCCATCTGGGGACGTGCTTTGGCTCAGATTGTATTCCGAAGGGCTCTCGACCTGATTGTGGATCGAACCTGGCGTTGCCGTTCATGCATCCACTGATGTGTCTGTCTATGGCAGTGGTGACAGCAGTGCTCCCATGCCCTGTGACCCCAGCAGATGTGTTGGCATCTCCTCGGCACACCCCGAGCTGCCCGTTTCTCAACAGCTCCGAGCAGCTGGGGATGGAGGGAGGAGAAGGGGACAGCTCTTAGGGGCATTAAAGCCCTTATTATGCATCTGATTATGTGGAAATAAGCAAACCCCCAAGTCCTCTCCTTCATTTGTGGTTTCACTAGTCAGTAAACTTGTTTGTACCTAAGTTGCAAAAACCTCTTCACACTGGGACGTGTCAGGTCGCATCACATGCTCCCTTCCAGGCAGCAGCAGTGCACACCTTATGCCCGTATCCCAGCTGGCAGGCAACGGCGTGCTGTGCAGGTGCAGAGGCTTTGCCTGGTAGCGTTAATTATCACACAGAAAACCAGTGGTTAAAGCTGTTACCTATAGAGCTGGGTGGAACGTGGCAAATTAAAAGGATTTTCCAGAAACTAAATATCAACAGATATGCATGTGTGTGAATAAACGTCTCACGTGTTGATACGACCAAACATATTTCATAACACCTGTCTTAACTAACATAAAGCAGCTTCCTATTTGCCGAGACTGTGAAACAGTCCATTTGGTTACCGTCGGACCATTAGTGGTTCCAGCTGGCTCATTATTACTTTGAGCATATAGTTTCTAGGAGACAAGATACAGAAAATATATTTTTTTAACAGCTTTTATTCTAAATAAGGTGAATTTATATGTGCTTATATATAAATATGTACGTACAGATTTGTATAAACACTAATGGGTATTTTCCAGCTTAGCACAACTGAAAAATGAGTGGAGTAATAGCGATATCATAATTTGATTTATAGTTGAAGTCACAGACTCATTGGCTATGGCTGTTCACTATTGTGTATTAACAAATGCCAACTCCTAGAAATGTGGAAAAAAAAAAAACACCTTTCTATTGCTGTGATGCCTGGTATAAGAAGATGAAATCCTGGCCTTTCTGAGGTTGGTGTGGAATTTTGCAGTCAGTTTCAGTGGAGTCAGAAAAATATTGGCAGGTTTGCATGTGAATTTGAAACAGCAGGAAGTTACTGAAGTTGAGAGAGCTATTAAACAATAAACAAGGTCAAATTGGTTACAGTGGAATGCCTAAAAATTTTATTTATATATTTATTTACTTGCTCTGTCACAGTTTTAGTTCTACAGTTTTGTTATGCACTTCTGCCCCAGCTCAACAATTTTCACCAGGCTGCTCTCTCCTAATGTGTTCTAGTGCTTCAAAGGCAGTATCTGAAATATCATCAGCTACTGAGATACGGAGTACAATAGCACCAAGTAGACATGGATCACCTGGAGGTGTTACTTGTTATAATATGGGATGTAACATCATGAATAGTACCTTTGTTCAAGGCAAAGACAACTTGTTATCATGTTCCTATCTGACCCAGGAGAAATCTTTACCATATTACAGAAATAGGCGATGTCATAGGCTGAACAAGTGTTATTATTCCAAAAGCAATTTAGTAGGCTATTCAAGCATTGTGTAAAAGGATATTTAAAAGCTTTGCCTCTTTGCATGAAAAACACTGTGAAAAAGTTACCACTGCTTCATCTGCAGAAGCGTAATGAATTTTACAGATTAATGCTTACTGTGAGGCAGTAAGCTACAGCTACAGCATGGTCTCAGGAACCAAAATGCCCTGTCACGTCTGACGCAAACATTCAGCATGTTTCTGGATAAGCCATGCTTTACTCAATCCCTAGTCAGGCAAATTCCCTGAATATTTTCTGAAAGCTGCACGTGAGCATGTCTGGACATCGAACATCTCAGATTTCCTTATTTTCTACTTCCTTCCCCGTAAGATGGGTCAATTAGGGCCAGCGTCTTCATGGCATGCCTTCTTTTGTGTGTTACATCATTTCCCTAAAAGTGGCTTGAACTGTGCACTGAAGATTGTTCCAATGTGAGAGACTCGCCTCAGAGAGAACGACGGTCCAAAGCTGTAGACGACCAGCATCACGTCATCGAGACGTCCTCCTGTCACACGAGCTGAGCGATTTCCCCTCCAGATGAGCATGAAGTAGAGGAACATCAGGCTGCTGTCACTCAAGACATGTTGACCTGCCCCACAGGGCTCCAGCCCCATTTACCGGAGAGCTTGGGGAAGGAGTGATCATCGAAGGGCCCCGCGGCCTTCAGATCTGTGACCCTGCTGCGACGAGCACTCGGTATGATTTGTGTGTTTACCAACACCTTGAGGGTGGGGTTGCAGGGATTAATTGTGCCATGATTATAACAGCTAAAACTAGATGGGACATGACAAATTCTGGGGCCGTGGCAGGGAACACAGTGTCAGTGTAAGAAGTGTATTAAACCTTAAGTGTTAGAAGGCCGTATCATTTCTTCTTTTGTTGCTATATTGGTGGTCTTGCATTCATAATGTTAATGACAGTCCTGGTGTGGTTACAGGGATTTCTAAAGTACCAAAACGTTTGCCCTTCACCCAAAGATCGGCGTCCATATACCGGAATTACCCATCAGTCACATACCATTAGGCACTTGTCTGCTGCCTCCCTCCTGCGGGGTGCTGCTTCGGGGGCACAATCTGAAGCTAAAATGTACAGAGAACTTACACTGCCATTGCTCAACAGATGACTTTTTTCCCCCCATTCTTCTCTGCGGCATGAGGGTTTTCTGCTTTTTCCTCTAAGCTGTAATCTTCTGAACTGTGACTATTTAGTGCATAACGCAGTTTGTAGACAAACTGCGAATTGATTTTCCTGAAGTGGGCTGACAAAATGATGAGTGTATTGGAAAGCAGCACACACTTGGTTATTTGTTGTTCTACATTAAGCTAGGTTTTTCAAGTAAATGTCCTTTAAAATAGCCTTTTTCATTTTAGTGTGCTGCTTTTAATGTGCATGCTTAATATGGTTCATATGGTTCAGTTGCACAGCGGTATCTGCTCTTGTTACAGGCACTCTGGTAGCTTTCAAAATTTTATCCAAATGAGGAAATTTGAGCTTCAGCTTGGAGGGGCTCATAACATTGGCTGCTGCTGAGAATTATGTCCTTATTTTGAATGCTCTGAGGTACTACTTTTGAATACTAAAGATTCCTTGTGGCATTTTACCGAGTCACCCCACCCTTAAATCATATCTAAATGATACCAACAAGGTGACTTTCAGAGTTTCTTTGTAGAACACACTATGAGAAAAGGATGCAAAAAAAAAAATTGATTGCGACTGATTAAGAAAGAGACAGGAACTGGAAAATAAGGAATGTTGCATCAGGTTGGGAGAGGAGAGACTGCAGAGCATTTCAATTTTAGGAAGTGCATCTGACATGGAGTAAAATGCTAAGCTCACAGGACTAAAATTGCCATTTTTCTTTACAGAAAGTGTATATATGCATATATAAACATTTATATGTGTACTTTACGTACACATTCACATATGCAATCTATGTGATTGAATTTGAAATCTACATCTCTAGAACAAACTGAGAATTTGTTTTATTTTATTCCTTCAGCCTTGAAATTTGGCTCTCTTGTAGCCCAATACAGATTTGCTTTAAAACCAGATAGTGTTGCAGATGCTTTCTTGAGGACTTTGG